GGATTGTGTGCAAAAGCCATTCATAGGATGGTTATGTATAATAATACCCATCTATGAAAAATAAATAATGGGCCTTTGTGAACCAATATCACTCACTGATATAAATATCAAATATTATAAGATAAGCAAGATAGTTAAGTTGTCAAAGATCACAACCATATAATTCTAGGACTGAAAAAAAATCATCTCGGTAATAAGATACTTTTAAGGTAGATATTCTTGAATAACCATTCATGCATGATTTGGGTAAACTTTAATTCAGCCTGGAAGCCATAATTGCTGTTAAGATATCAGTTAATGATTGACTAGATATATCTCAACATTTAAAAATTCTGCATTTTCATAAATCTCAATGTAATATTTTCATATATTTTCATTTAAGCCATTTAACCTTAACCCATAAAGAAAGGCTGTACATAAATAACTGTCTTTTTTCTAAGACATATAACAACCCTTTGACTAGATAGCTGACACACTGGAAAGTCATTTTACTTTGAGCAGTGTAGATTATCTCTCATATTTTTTGATTAGTAGTCCATTTAATGTCAATGTTCAGTGATGACAATAAAACACTTTCATATCAGATCCTCTGAAATAAACCTGGAAAAATCTTCACAATGAATCAAAATCCTGATTCTTGAATATCTATCCTATTATCAGAAAATCAGTGTGCAAGTGTGTGAAAACTAAATCTTTTTGATTGTTAATGTACACTGCAATAATAACTCAAATCACTTCACATATACCCTTAGTAATAAAGAGAATTTAAACAATCATTCTTCTTTGAAAAGAATACTTTTTGCATTAGGGCAACAATAATACATACACAAAGAAAAACAAAATTTTCAAATTTCACTATCATACTGAATTTCATCTAGGACATTTCTTTCCTATTTTCTTTTCTTCATTGTCTTCAGGGATAATCAAACCCTTCAGAAATTCTAAAATAGGTGGAGGGGAAACCTGACTCCAGTAACCAGGGATCCAGTTTGAGGTGTCACAACCCCACTGAACCTGTTGTTACGTATTGTCTGGTATCTGTGCTGTACTGACAGGAGGTTCCTTGTTGAAGAGAACCACCAATGCTTCTAATGACTGCCGAACCTTTTTGGTAGAAAAGAAAAACTGTTAGTTGATTCAGTGTAGTAATAAAACAGAATCATGAGATGTGATCATTCTGTGCAAAAAGATAAACAGATCATTAAATGTTGGTTTCCTTTTAAACTAACATGTATCCATAAGATGATCAATTTCTTTTTCAGGGGGGCAGGGAGTGGGATAGAAAGAAAAAAAAATGAGATTTTACTTACTGTAGCTATATGCTTTAATTGTATGCTTAAAGTTTTTTCAATCTCACTTGATGCTGCAGCATGAAGTCTCTGTTGCATTTGTAGCACCTCTTCATACATACCATTACTGAAAGGTAGGGGGGAACTTAGAAAGAGTACTGTTAGAATCAAAATATCAATGCTGTATGGGTACAGAGACAAGCTAGGATAAATGTACTTAAACTGCACTTGGCAGCTGAAAAGTTGACAAAGGTGATCTGATGACTGACTGACTGATGATGATAATTATCTAGTAGGTGACAATTTGGACATAATAATTATTTCAAAAGTGACAGATTGTGATGAAAACTATTTGAAATGTGATAAGCAGGTAATAATGATTATCTGAAACTGATCATGTTGCTTTCAGACATTGTACTCAGTCAATCATCCTCATCTCAAGAGCAATTTTGCATCAATAAAAAGGTAAAGCATCTACCCATTTCTCTTTTCTTAGGTAACAGTACCAACATCAGTATATGCCAAGTCTTTTTCAAAGAAATACAACTGAAATCAACATGATCAGGGATGATTTGGGAGGAAAATAGAAAAAAATACCTAACATACAAAGTTCATTTATCACCTTACACTTTCAATGTCTCTTGAAAGCATTATTCACAAAATTATATTAAACAAAGTTTCCTCAGCTTTAATTTTGAGCATCTTACCTTCATGAAAAAAACTCATACTTACTATTCATCATATTTCTCTAAGCCAAGTTGTTGGCTTAAAACATCTACTCTGTGAAGCATGAAAGCTGCTGATGCAAAGAGTAAGAGTAGCAGCAAAGTAGATATGATGAGGAGTATTGAAGTCCTTGGCAGAGACCATAGTTCCTTTACCCCTTCTCCTATAAGCTTGACTGGGATGCTGCCAACCTTGAAACAGGCTGTGTGAGAGCAGTGACATTTTAATGTTTTAAATGTCACACAGAATGATGAAGTTCCTGGCTGTTAATCATATGTATGTGTATGTGTATGTGTGTGTGTGTGTGTGTGTGTGTGTGTGTGTGTGTTGTGTGTGTGTGTGTGTGTGTGTGTGTGTGTGTGTGTGTGTGTGTGTGTGTGTGTGTGTGTGTGTGTGTGTGTGTGTGTGTGTGTGTGTGTGTGTGTGTGTGTGTGTACATATATGTATAGGTATATGTATGCAATATTTCTTTTTGTTGTGTGTGC